TCTGAAAGATAATTTTTACTGGATGTAGGGTTCTATATTGACGGTTTCTTTCAGTACTTTATATGTATCATTAAATTACATCATACCTAGTGAAAAAGTCAGCCAATATTTGTACTGTTATCTCTCTGTGTGTAATACATTTAAAAATTTTTATGTGGTAGTGAGGTTCAAACTTAGGGACTTGCAGTTGCTAGGCAGGTGCTCTATCACTTGAGACGCATCCCAGCCTTTTCTTGTTAGGATCTCATGTTTTTGCCCAGGGCCAGCCTCAGTCTGTGATCCTCTTAACCTACAATCTCCTGCATAGCTGAGATTATAGGTGTGTAACCACTATGCCCAGCTTATTGATTGAGATTAGGTCTCACTAACTTTTTACCTGGACTGGCCTTGAACCATGATTCTCCTTATCTTGGCCTCCCAAGTGGCTGGAATTACAGAGGTGAAACACTGCACTGGCCAAATATTTTGTTTTTTAATGTCTGTTTTAAAATTATGCTCTTTAGGGAAGGTTTCTAGTGTTTTGACTATGATGTACATAGTAGGTCTCGTTTTTCTGTGTATGTTTACTGCCTGAATTTGTTTTCTCAGATCTGTGGGTTGATATCTTTCATCAGTTTTGGAAAGTTCTTTGTCATTATCTCTTCAAAATATTCTGTCTCCTCTTTGTTACACTGTCTGCATTGTTCCACAGATTTTGGATGCTATGACCTGTCTTTTTTCTCCCTATGTTTTTGTCCCCCTCGCTCAGTTTGGAAATTCTTAGATCTACAGTCAAATTTAAGGATTCTTTCTTCTGCTATTTTCACTTTGCTAAGTCTTTCAAATAATTTTTTTAAATCTCTGGTTGTTTTTTATTGCTATCAATTCCATGTACTCATTTTTCGTAGTTTCTATGTTTTTGCTGAAATTCTCCAATCTCTTCATCCATACTGTTTATCTTTACTTCTAGATCCTTCAGCATTTTCTTACAACCATCATCATGACTTTACTATAATTATTTTAAAGTCCTCTCTGTTATATTCAACGTCTGGGCCTTCTTGATTTATTTTTTCTGAGTTCTTTTTGTCTTGACCAGTTACATTTACTTTCTTCTTTGCATGTCTTACAATTATAAAGTATACATTTTGTATAAAATAATAGCAAGAAATGAAGTAAATATTATATACTACTGTTCTGGAATAGAGTAACTCATGTGTCAGGGATTAGTCCCTGGATATGGAATAGGGAATAATCTACATGTTAGGCTGACAGAGTCAGGAAATACATCTTACGATCTGTAGTTAAGCTGTGTTTTCTTGTAGCTTAAATTTAGTTTGAAGTGTTTTTAGTGGGATCAAGTAAGATGTTTCCTTTTGAGGAACACAGGAGTGACTACTGGTAAAATTTGCAAAATCTCAGTTTTTAGCTGAGCTATGGAGCTATGAACTTTCAAAACTGCTTTATAGTTCAGCTGTCAATTTTCTGGGTTGGTGATACTTTCTTTTTGTTGTTTGGACTTGCCTCAGTTTATCTGTGTCTTGGGAGTATCTCTTATCTCCCCTCCTACCCTTCTCTGCATACTGCCTTGGAGGACTTTATCTTGCCTCTGTTACCCTACTTTCATCACTGAGTAACTTAAAGAGAAACTTCTCTTGATTTTCATAGATCTGCCCACAGTCAGAAGACATGCTCTGTAGTGTAGTACTTCTGACTATGATGTACATTATCATATGTTACATTTAGTGGGCAGCTGCCTTGTATTTGGGGATGCCCTTTACAATTCAGGAATGATTCTCCTTTCTTGGTTCTCTAACATTGGCTTATTGCCTATGAATACTCAGTGAAGACACAAAGAAAAGAAGTTGGCAAGTGGGTGCAGGCTTGTGTTTGGGGCTTCTCTTAGTTTTTATGTTTTACTATTACACAAGAGACACACTGGGTAAAGTTTTGGATGGCTTCCTCCTATCTCTTTGTCTATTCCTTCTCCTCTGCTGGACATTAGTTCACTTAGATCTCTTTATATTCCAGTTCCTTGATGGGGTTAGTTTTTCTAAACTTACCCAGATTGTTTTTATTGTTACAGTATGAGTGGTGGACTCTTGAGACTTTCTATATTCTATCAGGCTAAGTAGGCTCTTTTTCTGCTTTAAAAATCTGCTGCAATAATCACTATTCTCAGGTAGTACTATGCTTTTTAAACTGCTTAGCCTTAAATATGTTAAATGTGGTTTTCATTGAGCTGTACTCCATATTAGTAATTTTATTTTCTAAGACTGTAGTACATAATCCTTAATAAAGTATTTCTTGCTGTATAGTTGAAGATTTAACTGGTCAAGAATTACTTTCATTCAAATACTAGCTGGTACCGGGCACCGGAGGCTCACATCTGTTATCCTAGCTACTCAGTAGGCAGAAATCAGGAGGATCGTGGTTGAAACCAGTCGAGGCAAATAGGTCACAGGACCCTATCTTGAAAATACCCACCACAAAAAGGGCTGGTGGACTGGCTCAAGGTGAAGGCCCTGAGTTCAAGCCCTAGTAACATACACACACACACACAAAACAACAAAATCCAACAACAAAAAAAACACTAGCTGTTTATACCATAATTCTTGAACATCTAAAACAAAAATAGGTTTCTACTTCTTTTGTAAATGATCAGTCACCCTTCATTCTGCTTTGGACTCGGTCTATCCTTGAACTATATGGGATCCTCAAAAGAACAGGATGCAGGAGTGTCGTGATAAATCTGAGTTGGTGAGATATGAGAGTTAGGAGAGGGACTTATTTGAAAACTGCATAAAAGATGTAATTTACATTTTTGGAGTGCTTTTTCTATCATGTTCCAGCCATACTTACTTTTAGTTTGAGGAGTATTTTCTGATTTTATTTTATAGTTGAAATGTCTCGATTTATATCAAAGAAATGATTTAAAATAGCAATACTGAATTGCATTGTTGACCTACAACATAAGGTTTGTTTCTATATCTCAAATTCTAAAATTTCAGAAAGTGTTTTATTATACTTTTAAGAGAAAAACAAAACAGTATAGCATAAACAATGGTTAATGTAAATGCTTGTCTGAACCATTTATTAGCAATTATGGGCAAATCAACCTCTAAATTTTAATTTTGCTGTTAGAAAAATCTAAGAATGATGATCCTGGGAGCTTACCACATGCAATGTAAAATATTTCACTTTGCACTGGATTCCCACAAATAAAGTACTACTGAAAATAAGCTCACAGTGCACAGTTTAGGACGTAAGAAAATAATTCACTATGAGGAACCAAAAATGATCACATATTAGATACCAATGAATGTCAGAAAATATCTATTATATAGAGAAAATAATGTTTAGCAGAAAAACCTGAAAGTATATAAGAAGCTGTAAGGAATCAAGACCTTTATCAAAACCACCTAGGCAGATTATGAAAAAAGAACCAGTAAGAATGTCTAGGAAAAAAATGGTACTCTGAAATTATAATCTTAGGTTTTTTTCTTTAAAAAACAGATCAGATATAGATGAAAAAAGCTTAGAAACTAGAAAACGGATGTAAAGAAATGATGGAAATGAAGTCCAAGGACATAAGAGTCAATAAATATGAAGGTGAGGTTAAAAGACATTAACAGAATAATAACCACTCACAGGAATCCAGTAAGGACAGAATACATATAATGTGGGAAGGCAAAATTTGAAAAGACAATGGTTTAGAAGTTTTCAGAATTGATGAAAAAAACATGACTCCTCCAATTTAGTAAGCAAAATGTAATCCCAACAGAATTTCATGCTAAACATAACCACAGTTTACTAAAACCATAATATACCGAAGACAAAGAGATCTTTAAGGCAACCTGTAAAAAACCAAATCACCTATAAACATGAAGACAAATCAAACCTCCTTTTGTTAAGTATCAACAAAGAAGCCAGACAGCATAAAACACTGTCTTTAAAGTGTTCAGAAAAAATAACCACCAACATAGAATTCCAGATTGAACTAAATTTACAAGTGAGGGTGCAATAAAGGTATTTTCAGACAAAGTACAAGAGTATTTACCATTAAGCAACCACCATTACTGAAAGAACAAACCAGGACTCTCATTCAGGTACATTTAGATATCTGAAGGACATTTTTGTTTTTTCAGTGACTAGGGAGCATGAAGAAAATAAACTTAGAAAAGATAAATTTTCTCCAATAGGCAAGACAGTCCTATATAACAAATAACTGCCCAATCCAAATGTTATTAGTGGTCCAATGAGAAACACAGAAGACATAAAGGGCAATAAACAAATACTGCATGCTCTGTCAGTAAAAAAAAAAAAAAAAAAAAAAAGACTAAATTTGGGGAGCAAAATACTAGAAAGAATGTGATTAAAGTTTCCTAAAGTTTGTGTGTCACTATGAGAACTACACATCTATGGATCAGCTTTAGTTTAAAGGTGAACATAAGCACACAGACAAATTCAGAGTAAAAAGGCAGCATAGATGAGGTAAATACCAAGCACAAAAGACAGATAGCCACAATATCAGATAATGCAAATTACATGGCAAAAACCACTGTTACAAAGAGGATCATTACATAATGAAAAAAATTCAATTTGCCAGGAAGGAACAACAATTCCACACTTGTATGCATTTAGTAACAGTCTCAAAAGATACAAGGAAAAAAGGCTAATGTTATAAGGACAAACTGGTAACTCACAATAATATAAATAGTTTCAAAAACCTCTTTGAATGATAGGTCAAGCAGACAACAGGTTAAAGTATAACGTATATAAGTAACTGTTGAGTTAATAGACAAATAGAGAATACAACACCCCCTTGAAAGACATTTATAAAAACTGACCCCTTGTAAGAAAGTCAAATAGCAAAAGATAACATTTTCCTTAATGAAACTATAATTCTGCTATTAAGTAGTAAAACAGTAAAATACTCAGACTTTAGGATATAAACATTCATTTTTAAATATTAATGTCATAATTAAGAAAATAAAAACATTATCTTGATTAACATATCCTACCGATATAATCCGATCTCCTTTTCTGAGCTCTCCACTTAGATCAGCAGGTCCTCCAGCCAAGATAAAGGAAATAAATATTCCTTCTCCATCTTCACCTCCTACAATGTTGAAACCAAGGCCTGTTGAGCCACGATGAAGAACAACTTTTCTAGGTTCCCTAAAATTAAAAAAATATTAAATACTTTGGAAATTTTATTTAGAACCTGACAATCTATCAATGAGAACTTCCTATTGATAGCTATAATTTATCAGGGGCTGAGAGGAAAGTAGGCTGGAAATGCTTAAGGGTTACAGAGTTTGTTTAAGGTAATGGTAAGGTTTTGGAAATAGCTAGTGGTGACAGGTGTACAACACTGAATATATTTAACATCATTGAACTGTTCACTTGAAAATGGTTAAAATGTCAAAAAATATATATATACATATAGTCACAATTTAAAAATTAATGTAATGCACCAAAAATTACTGATTTGTACACTAAAGGCATGACATTTATGATGTGTAAATTATAGATGAATAAAACTGTTAATAAATGAACTTCCTAAAGTGTTTGTATGTTGAGGGGGGTTTGGTAATGTGAGTTAACTTCATTTTTGGGGGGCAGTACTGAGGTTTGAACTCAGGGCCTCACACTTGCTAGGTAGGCACTCTATCATTTAAGCCACTCCACCAGCATGAGCTAACTTCTGAAAGACTACTTAGGGTCAAGTTGTAGAAAACTTCTAATGTATGTGCAAAGTTTTTGTATTTTGTTATCTGGGCAAAGGAATGTAATTATCAAAAGGGAGTAATAAAATACCATTTTAAGAAGATATATCCAGTAATGAACCATCTGATTTTCATAAAATAGTATGAAAACAGACAGATCTGTTGTGTGATACTTAAAAAGTCTAATACAATGTTCTAGACAAAAGATATGCAGTAAAAAAAAATAAAAAAGGCAAGAGCTGTAAGTGTGGCTCAAGCAATAGAGCTTCTGCCTAGCAAGTGCAAAGGCCTGAATTTTAACTCCAACATAACATACCCTCCCAAAAAAAGATATGTGAGTGGATGGAAACATGAATAAAGATGCAGATACAATTTATTTTATAGTTTGCAAAATATGTACAGAGATTAAAGACTAGACAAATCATCTTTTCCTCTTCTTTTTTTGGTAGTATTGGGGATTTAACTCAAGGCTTTTGTGTTTGTGAGGCACAATTTTTAAAAATTGTGGCTATCTTTTGTGGTAGATTAAAATTCCAATTGTGGCTATCTTTTGTGGTAGATTAAAATTCCATTTAATAGTTGATTTTATGTAAAAAGATGAATGTTAAGTTCCTCACCTAGTAATTTCATCATCTCCCAGCATTGCTTTAGAAACGGGTGAGTATCTGGCTGGTGATGCTGGTGTCTGGCCCAAGTAGGAAGATGGGCTAACATGGTTATCAACAGGCTGAGAGAAGCTTGAAAACCAAGAAAGTGAAAAATACATTAAAAAATGAAACAAATCACTCAGTTTGTCACATAGGAACTTCAAAATTGAAGTATAATTAATATTCACCAATTTATATATCAGAATTTGGTAGAAGGTTTATCAGCTAAAAGCTGGACAAGTTCAGTTTCCAGGTTAAAACTAGTTTAGATATTCAGACCAATAAAGCAAATTTATTCTACTTTTATTCTTTTAAGAAAATACAATGAAAAAGGAATTTTAGAATAACTTATTTGCACAATGAAACTCAGGAAAGTTCATTTAAATATTGTCATAGAAGAGCTGGAGGAGTGGCTCAAGTGGTAGAGCACCTGCTTTGCAAGTGTAAAGCCCCGAGTTCTAACTCCATTCTCACTAAAAAAAAAAAAAAAGACTAAAGTAAGCAAATCTGAAGTATAATAACTTAATTCTTCTGAGAAGTCATTTTGCAGACTACTAGAGGCTTAAAAATGGGCACAAAAAGCTTATGTCCTTATAACAGGTCAATCCAAAGAATATTTTTTTTCCTTGTTTTTAGTGATACTCAGGACCTTGCACTCTGCCACTTGAGCCACTCTGCCAGACCTTTCCGTGTTGGTTGTTTTTCAGATAAGGCCTTGCTTTATGCTTGGTCTGGCCTAGACTAAAATCCTCCTGTCTGTGCTTCCCCACATAGCTGGGGATGACACTACTACACACAGTGATTGGTTGAGATGGTGTCTCACAAGCTTTTTGCCTGGGTTGGCCTCAAACTGTGATTTTCCAGATCTCCACCTTCTTAGTAGCTAGGATTACAAACTTGAGCCACCACATTTGACTGTCTATTCTTTTAAATACACCCATGTAAGAATGGAAACATGATAAAAAAAAATAAAAAATAAGCAAAAAAACTATCAGTTCATTTCAATAACAGTGAGTATCAGATTGGTTGTCATTCTAGCAAAAGCTGAGAATACAGAGTTATAATGCTATTTCTAAACATGTTTTCCAAAGACCCAGTATACAACATATTTAGGCTGTAGCTTATAAAGACATAACAAACTTGATTTTTCTGAATCGTTATCAAAACACATAGAAAGCAATATTAACTATTATCAAACATCAGCCTCTTTTGTCTTTAAATTACTGAGTATCTGCTAAAGGCAAAGCACTATGCTATGCATTGGGGGTACAAAAAATGCAGGGATTACTAGTTCAAATTACTATAGAGGACACAGGTGGGTAACAAAAGCAATGAGTGAAAAACAATAGGAAACGATGGAATTATTGTATATTGGGAAAAAAATACACATTCCATCAAAAAGTGGCAGTACCTACACATCTGTATCTATAACCATACAAAAAAAAGTCATCTACAATATCTACTGATAGTATATAGTATATCTATGGCTATTACAGGTTTGTAGTACCTAACAGCAATTGTTTTCCATCCACTTCATACATAAAACCTCTTTTGTATTTGAGCCAAGGGACTTTCTTTCTTTACTTATTGGTGGGACTGGGTTTGACGTCAGGGCTTTGTGCTTGCAGAGAAGGTGCTTTGCGGCTTAGGTCATATCTCCAGATTATTTTGGATATGGGATATTGAACTATTTGCTCAGTCTGGCCTCGAACCAGGACCCTCCCAATCTCAGCCTCCCAAGTAACTAGGATTACAGGTTTAAGATACCAGCTTCTGGCTGAGCCAAAGGAGTTTTTACCAATAGCTTTTGACTTTGAAAGTCCAAGGTCTTTCCTGGGGGACATATGAGAATACCTGTGATTTTTTTTAAAGGAATTGGCACATAGCCCTAAACCAACTAATATTCATATTAATGTCTATAATCACCAGTCTTTTCATGTCTGGAGTTCAAGGATATTTTAATTTTTATATTCCTTTGTGGCACTGTCATGTGTATGGAACAAAACTCAAAGTTAATAAAACAACAAGAAATTCCATCAAATGCCCAAACCAGAAAATGTACACTTTCCCTAATACACTGAGACTGCTCTTTTATTCAACAGATACTTTCAGGCATGAATAATATCTCAGACAGCAGGGACTAAAAATTAATATTCCTATCAAAGAAATGATAGCACAAAGAAAGATCACATAAAACAATGCTATTTCATAAAAAGATCTCCCAGATAACTACACAATTAGTCTAACAACTAACAATGAGTGTAATTCATTATCCTGAGATATCAGTTCTATTGACCCCAAGACTTTCAAGGTTTGGGGAAAAAACAAGTGGAAGAGCTTGAAGTGAAAGTAGGAAGACCTTGAGGGCTACATCATACGTTCAGACTTTCCACCTGAACAGAATGTAATTTAAAGTGAGAAGACATAAAATGTAAAAGAATGAATATTTTCCTACCAGAGAAATTATAATCAATTAGATCTAATGAACTCTTTTCATGAATAATAAACCTATTTTTATTCCTGGGGACTATATTTTGTTATTATCTGTATGTTGATTACCTTGTGGTGTTTTTTTTTTTTTTTACCTTATTTTGGTTACAATAATTGGTTGTGCCTCTTTTTCTCTTATGGCTCATAAATTAACTTCTATAACTGTCTCTTTCATTATTTCCTTCACAAGTCTTGCTAAAAATATTTACTATCTAGTAAATAAATTCTTTTCCAGCTTCAACAACTTCTCACTTACACAGGGTTAACCTTGCCAGAAACACCCTTTCCTCCAGCCTTTGACAATCAACACACACAAAAAAAATCCAATGTGATCTAGTTTACTGTGGAGATAACAAATGATAGAAATCTGAATAGTCCTGTAGCTACTAAATTAACTGAATTCAGAATTAAAATCCTTCCCCACAAAAAAATTGTAGGTCCAGATCGATGACTTCAGTGGTAAATTAGACTATTAATGATATTTATCACATTAATGGAACAAAGGGGGAAAATCAACTAAGTAAATGAACTGATGAAACTCAACATTTAAAAATGCTCAATAAATCAGAAATAAACTTAATTTTCTTATTTGACTATAGGTAGCTACAAAAGGCCTACTGCTAACACCAAATGCAACGGTGAAGTGCCATTTCCCCTTAAGAGTTTGAGAACATGACAATGACATTCATTATCATCATTTCTATTTGACACTGAACTAGCAGTTTTACCTCCAATTCAAGAAAAAAGGAAATGAATAATATAAAGATGGGAAAGAAAGAAGCAAAACTGTCACTGTCTTAAATGCAGATGACATGGTTGTACACAGACATCCCAAAATAATCTGTAAAATATTCATGAATTTAGCAAGATTACTGACTATAATCAATATACAAAAATCAGTGTCATTTGTAACATCAAAACCATAAAATACCTTGAACTAAATCTAACAAAAGAATTATAAAATTCTTACTATACTATTAAATACTGAGAGAAAATTAAAAAGAACTACATCGTTAAGACAAGATGGCCTAGATTAAAGACTCAATTGTAATTTTTCCTAAGTTGATCTGAATATGTTTAGATTCTAAAAATCCTTAAGGAAATTCAAGGAAGATCCAACATAATTTTGAAAAATAACAAAATGAAAGATTTACACTGATAGAAATCAACACTTACATACATGATAAAAGCACCAATGTAATTCAAATGCAGAGACAAATGACTTGCATGCCTGGGAGTTCTGCATTAGTGAGCTAGCATTATTGAAACATTCCCAGGTTCCTGTGGAGTGAGTTCCACTCTTGAGAGGGAATACGGAATGTTTGTAGAAAGAAAACAAACAGACTTTTAAGAAAAGTATAGTTTGGAATAAATATAGACTTGAACATCAGAGAGCAGTGAGGGACACATGAGCACAAAGCCAAAGTTGAAACTGACTCACTTCACAAAGGTAACAGAGAAGCAGTAACTGACTGATTAGTCACATACGCTTGCTCTATTGGTGATTAAATGGTCTGTTAAATATTGCTAGATCTTTCAGGTATCTGTATGAAAGAAATCTCATGTTATAGGTAAAATTTAAATAAAAATGGATCATATCTAAATGCAAAGGTTCCAGAGTTAACTCATATTGAAGGACTGAAGGACAGACTGCAGGAGGTCCCAAAAGGTGGTAAGTGGTCAAGGAGACACCTCTCCTCCCTAGGGAACGCCTGTCTGATCTGAAAGGCATCTTGCCCTCAGGCAATACAAAAAAAGGCTATAAAACCCCATTCCCCACCCTGACCCACAGAATCACCGGTTTCTGGGTCCCCCTGCATTCCCAAATATGAAGTCTTTCTCTTCTCTTTACAAATAAAATCTTTTTGACCTCTGCTGTTAAGAGTCTGTCTGTACTTTCATTCTCAGAGCAAGCTCAAGAACCCTGAGCACCTGAAATCCCTGCGTGTGTCACTGTGCATCAATATGACCTTGGGTTAGGAATAGATTTCAATGAATTACTAAAAGCACAAATCAAGAAGGTCAATTGGTAAATGACTTGATTAAAATTAAGGAATTTTATTCTTACTAACAATAGAGAGAAAGGGAAAATGCAAACTGGGTGAAGATATTTGCAACAGATACAACTGATTAAATAGTTATTTTTTGAGTACATAAGACTTCCTTCAAATCAGTAAGATAAAGGCAGAAAACATTAACTGAAAAAGGTAGAAAGGCTGGGTATGCTGGCATCCACCTGTAATCCTAGATACCTGGGAGGTGGAGATTGAGAAGATCATTGCTCAAAAAAAAAAAGTTTGAGAGACCCCTTCTCAACCAATAAAGGCCAGCCACAATGGCATGTACTTGTCATCCCAGCTATATAGCAAACACAAGTAGGTGGGCTAGAAGTATGATTAAAATGATACAGCACCTACCTAGTCAAGTGTGAGCTCAAACCCCAGTACTGCCAGAAAACCAAACCAACCAACCAAACTACAACCAACCAACCAAACACTGGACTATTACAAACCCCTAGATAGATCTCATATACCTTTATGTTGACTAAAAGCAACAGATACAAAAGAGTACAAACTATATGAGAAATCTAAGAACAAGCTGATCTAATTTAACTTAACTATAATACAGTAACACATAACACACCCACACATAATCGCTTAAAGAACAAGCAGATAGCCTTCCGGGGTGCCAGAAATATTTTATATTTAGATCAGTAAGATGGTTATAAAGGTACATGCATTATGCCAAAAATCAATAAGCTGAACTTGTAAGATTTGTGCCCCTCCCCAAAGATTAAGTTTTACATCAATTAAAAAGTAAATAAAAGCCAGGTGTGGTGGTTCATCCCTATAATTTCAGCACTCAGGAGGCTGAGGTAGGAGGATCCAGGGCTCATGGTCAGCCTGGACTACACGGAAAATTTCAGGTCACTTTGGGTTACATAGCAAGACCTTGTCTAAAAAAATGCAAAAAGGAAAGAAGGAAGGGAGGCAGGGAGAGAGAGGAAGAGAGGACTAAAAGACCTAAGCCCAGAATGGAGAAATATGTTAATGGACAGGAAGGCCTATTATAAAGATGTCAATTCTTTCCAATCAAAATCTCACATGATTTGAGCATTATACATTGTGTACATGTACTGAATTATCACATAGTATCTCATAAATATGTACTGTTATGTGTCAAATAAAAATGAAGAATTAAGTGGAAGAGTAAAAGTTTAAATAATGGTAAAACAATTTCTTTAATTTAAATTCTTGTCTAATAAAAGGACAATGGACTTGCCCTACCAGTTATCAGTATAGTTCTCATTTGTACTTCTCCTCTTATTAGCAGATTGAATACCTTTTCTTACATAAAAGAGTATTTTATAGAATATTCTGTTTTCTACTGGGCATTTTTTTCCCCTGATATGAAAGATTTCTTTACATGGTAAGAAAATTATCTTTTTGTGATATTAAGTGGAGAAAAGAAGTAGTTGGAGGTATCTTTGATTGTAGGACAATCCCCCTTAGGATAGGGAATGTTGCCAGGTGCTGGTGGCTTACACCTGTTATCCTAGCTACTCAGGAAGCAGAGATCAGGGGTTTTGAGGTTCAAAGCTAGCCCAGGTACCCAACACAAAAAAAGGGCTGGTGGAGTGGCTCAAGTGGTAGAGTGCCTGCTTAGCAAGTGTGAGGCCCTGAGTTCAAACCCTAGTACAATCCCCCCCACCCCTGTTAAAAAGGGGGGGGGTGTTATAGCATGCTTGTGCTCATGGTAATGATCCAGTGAGAGAATGTGATTATGTGGTAGAGAGAGAGGTAGCTGTAAGAGCAAAATCCTTTTTGGAGAAGAAATAATGAGATTCTGTATACAAATAGAAGACCTCTTCAACAGGAGAAATGATAGTTATTCTATTGTAATATAAGGGAAAGCACAGTTTTTTGATAAAGAAATATATACATAGGTAGATTTGAAAGCAGAAGGATAAGGAAGTTCTCTTCTAGGTGCTTTTATCAAATATGAAATGAGGTTATCAGCACAGTGGATGTTAAGTTTTGAGGAGAGGGAAGAATTCTCAGAGTGAGACATGAATTAGTTAGGGAAATGTAGTAGGCAAGAATGAGGCTCCATTTCAGATTTATGGTCAGAAGTTAAAAGGTAGCACAATTTTGTGCTTTTCTTCAGTCATTTTCTGTTTTTAGGAAGTGGGAATGGAGAAGACAAAGTTTGGTTGAACCAGTGTTGGGATTTTGCCAAGTAAGACGGGGGCTGGAAGATATGTGCAAAGAAATAAATATCACTGACAAATGTAGAATCTAACTTAAATAAAAAATTAGAAAACAGTATACATGGGTGGGCAAAAAAGTGATAATATCAGAGGACTAAAGGTCAAAATGAGGTTGAATTGTTAGAATAGTGGTGAATGATGGTTAAGGACAGAAAGTGGGATGACTTCAATATTTTAGAGATGATGATGGTATTGATAATTATAGAAAGATCTAAAGGATTGCCTTAGAAATTGAAGACAGAATAGTTAAAAGGAAAGAGATAAATAAACCAAAAAAACCAAGGTTTTATATGGACCATTTGTGAGGATTTGGGGTATCACTAGGAATGACAACATGAGTAACAGTAACAGGAAAGATAATGGGATAGCACTAAAATCTTCAGTGACTAAAGCCAGATTCATGAGGAGGAAACCAGATGTCTATAATACAAGACATAGGCAGTAAGATGAATGATCTGATAATAAGGGCTTCAGGAAAACTAACTGGCAAGAACCATTTATGTAAAAAAATTTAAACACAAATACTTACAAAAACCCAAATTGTTTATGAATTAGGGCAAATAAGTAATCTTATTTAGTTACTATTCTTTAGGATTGGCTCTCATTTTAAACTGTCACATTATTATACATTAAAAAGGGACAATTCAATAAAAATTTTTTTCTCTGTTTAACTCTGTTTTTTGTATACATGTTGGTTATAATCAGGACACCAATTCTTAATCTGTGGAACAACTACCCCAAATGTTCACATGATTTTCTCAAAGAGACAGACAGTTTTATTCAAAGTAAGACTGTAATATGAACTGGAGAATCAAATATATTATTGAAATTTCATCTTTAATTACAAAGAAAAATGTAGAAGTCCTTGTATAAAGTTTAAGAGAAACACCAAGGATATACATGAATTTCAAGTAAGTACCAGGTTATTTTCTTTGCCACAAAAAGAAGTATACGACAAAAAGGAGAATATTGTTAAGAAAATGATTCAGTTGTACTTGGGTAATAAATCAATGAGCAGGTAATAAAGATGTACTACTGAAGGACAGCACATAGATTTCAAAATGTAATTTACACTTAACTTTTAATGATTAGTGGTGATAATGAATCTTGATAAGTTTTAAAACAGAAAATATTGACATTTATAAAAAACCATAATGTAAAAGAATACTCAAAGCATATCATAAAGAGTATGTTCAAGCTGTTTATTACTCATTTGTTCTTTTAATATGAATTCAATGAACAGAACAAATAAAACTTCTAATTTTTAGACAAAACCCCATTAAAATATATTTAATTTTCTTCTTAGCTAACATATTAAAAATAATGCTCAGGTAAGAATCTTAAAAGTACATAAGAACTTTAATAATTCAATTTTATGCAATGCATTAGATTACACACAAGTACAGTCAGGCAATACACAAAGAGCTTAAAGTACAAATTATCTATTCTTATGTATCTGAGAGAATAGAAAATTCTTTAAATTCTATAAATATTTGCAATCAGAGGTTCTCAAGTTAGTCTATGAAGCAGTAGCACCAGAAGCATCAGAATTAGTTTGCTTGTTAATAAACCACTAGTTTATTTCTGTGTTCCAGATAGAAACTACTGGAACAAAACCAGAACCTGCATTGTTTGCATATACCCTTTGGTGACTATTATTTACATAAAAACTTGGGAACTGGGCTGGTGAAGTGGCTCAAGTGATGGGGAATTTGTTTATCAAGGTGAGGCTGAGTTCAAACCACAGTGCCACCAAAACAAACAGAACAAAAAAACCTTGAGAATCAATGCTTTAAATGTTAAACAGTAAAGGTGAGAAAGAATCCCACCTTGTTATTATGAAGATTCTGAGTTAAGTAGATTTTTAAAAACTATTAGATTAAAATGCTTAACAGTTCTTTAAAATTTTTTTTATTTTTTAAACCTTTTCTATTATATTAAACTAGAAACATTTCATTAAAGTGTGTACCACATCCAAAGAAATAAGATAAATTGAAGCAGACTTACAGTTGGTGATGTCAGGTGGTGCATAGCCATCATTTATATACATACTTGTGGGTTTTGCCACTTTTAAATAAACAAAGTCAGATGTGTTCTTTAAGGCAGTTACTGCTTCTTCATGAGTAACTTCTTCCAAGCATACACTATTCACCTGAAAGAAAATCCCAAGAGACATTAATTTTAAGACATTTTCACTTGTTCTGATTTTTGGTTACAAACAATTACTCCAAAAAGGTAAGGGAATAAGGGAGTGCTTTAATGAAAATAAAGGTGAGTGGAATCTAGCCACCATCCCATGAAAAGTCAAACTTGGCTATGAAAAGCCACTAGAGAATTGAAACACCTGGCTATCATCCCCAGTCGGGCTCCCAGTAGACAGACAAATTAGTGAACTTGCCAAACATATGCATGAGTTAAGCTGGAAGTAGATTGACCCTAGCTAAACTACCCCAGGTGACACTAAGTAGACTAGAGACAAGTTATCCTACCAAGCCCTATCCAATTTGCAGAACTGCAAACAAATACATGATTGTAGTTTTAGCTATTAGATTGTTTTCTTATGCAGTATTAGATAACTGGTTAAAGAGCTGACAAGATTTGCTAAGGGATTCAGTGTGTATTAATGTCACAGAAAGAGGATTATTCCTTAGTATTGGACTAGAGCAAAGTCATTTGACCAGTAATCGAAGTCTTTGCCTATAGTTTGCAAAAACACTGACCTTGGGTGTGAGCACTGAGAAAGCAGAGAAAGTGCACAAAGCCTGGTTTTAGATCACTTCAATGTTTAGAAGCTAGGGAGCTGAGAAAGCACCAGAAAAGGAGAATGACGTAAAAAAAAAAACAACAAAAAAAAACAAATTAGAGAGTGACTGTTAGGCAAATTGAAAAAAGTGTTTGGAGAAGGAAAAAGGTGTGCTAAATGTTAGATAAGTCTATAAAGATGAGAATCCAGAACTGCATAATTTCAGTGTAATTATGAGAACAAAAGTCTCACTAAAAGTGGATTCAAAAGAGAATGACAGTCTTGCTGCTATGGTAGATCAGCATAGGTCTGAATCCCTATCAACAAAATTGGCTCTGGAAAACCATGAAGGAAAGCAGGTATGCATGAAATTTTAAAAAGTGAGAAATCTAACAGGTAGAGAAAGCTGTTTAGACTGGTGTGTGTGTGTGTGTGTGTGTGTGCGTGTGTGTTAAGGTGGTGATTGTGAAAAGGTGTTGCTTACAGCTTGGGGAAAGAGTGTGAATTGTGGCTGTGAGAGGATAAGTTAGAGAAAAATTGTTCAAGTTCTGCTCATTCCCTTCCCCCCATCAATTTAAAAATCAGTTTTCTTGCTGCAATGATATGAGGTACTGGACAGAATGTACAACCAAGGAATCTTTTATATATTGCTAACAGGAGTGTAAAATTTTATAAGCAGTCTGGAAAACAATAGGGTTTTTTTTTTTTTAATATTCCTAATAAAACACCCAATGACCCAATAAATTCCATGGTTAGGTAACTAGTCAATGAAACTCCTGCACATGTTCACCAGAACACATGGCAGTTCTTCCTAGCAGAAGCATTCATAATACCCCCAAAGTGGAAATAATCTAACTTAACCATTATACTAGACCCATTCTGTGTGCCCTTTTGAGATTTACTTGAGCCCACCTGCCCACTAGGCCTTGGCTGCTTGTTCAGTAGAATGTCCTGACTACTACTACACTTACTTTATATCCTACCATTGCCAGTTCTGGATGATGTGTTTTATGCTGTAAAAGCTGTAACATGTCAGAAGCCATGTCTGACCTGTCTAGATTACTGGAGTTCTAGCTCTCCCCTCCATTTCTTTAGGGGAAGTTGCTGTAACACATAGCATGGGAGCTGGTTTCCCTAGCAGTTGCCCAGAGAAGCTGAGTAACTCAATCAAGAAATTTGGGGACAGTTAACCCCTATAGGGCAGACTATAACTAACAAGAGACAGGAGTCTAAAAAGAGCCAGGAGACAAATCCTTCTTCCTTTCCATGGACGACTAGATCTAAGATTTAGTGGTTCCACATTGCCTGGAAGACTATTCTACATGACAAGTAACAAGCTATATTTTCTTATGAAATTAGAGCCAATCTCAGAAACATTCTACCTTGCACTGGCTTTCCCTCATTCTCGATCTCACTTTTCATTTTCACTGATAACTAGCTTCCCTAAGATTACATCTATCAATAATACCTTAGCACATTAGCTTTTCTTCAGGCTCAGTTTCTCTGGGGAATATGGGTTAATGCAGTTGATAATCGACTACTGCTCTCGAGTACAGACGTGCAGGACGGAATCATGCCAGGCATAAATAAGTTAATTGAAGTAAAGCAAAAACTGGTCATGCACGAATGATGACATTGTGCTACAAACTCAAGGATTGTGAATAAACCAATCTGTGTATTTCTAAACCCTTCAAAGAGGACATGGAAGGAGGGAGAGAAGAAAAGAGAGAAGAAAAAAGAAAAAAAGAAGTGAGAAGGGAGAGGAGAGAGTAGGGAAAGAAGAAGGGATAGGAGAAAGGATAATAACAAAAGAAAAAGGGGGCTGGCAGAGGTAAAAGTAAAGGAAGATTACAATTCACTCATTTAAATTAGATTCAACCCCTTTTGGTATATAGAAATTTCAGTCTCTCATGAAAAATAAACATCAAAACAACTTAAAAAACAGGTTTCTTTTTTCTCTTAGATGCTAAACCTTTTGAGTTGTACTTATGAAGTCATTCCCTACACCTGTATGTTCCTGTGCATTTCCTACTACTTTCTGGAGTTGTTTCAAAGTTTTAGGCCTTATATTAAGGTCTGTGATCCACTTTGAGTTGATTTTGGTACTCAAAAATGAAAGAAAGGGATCTAGTTTCAGTCTTCTACATGTAGATATCCAGTTTTCCCAATAACATTTATTGAAGAGGCTGTCTTTTCTCCATCATGTGTTTTGGGCTACTTTGTCAAAGATCAGTTAGCTGTAGATGCGTGGGTTTATGTCTGGGTCTTCTATTCTCATTCATTGGTCTTCCTGTCTGTTTTCGTGCCAGTGCCATGCAATTTTTATTGTTATGGCTCTGTTCTATAGTTTGAAGTTGGGTATTGTGATGCCTCCAGCATTGGACTTTTTACTCAGAAATGTTTTGGCTTATTCAAGGTCATTTGTGTTTCCATTTGTATTTCAGGATGATTTTTCTATTTCTGTGCAGAATGTCATTGGAATTTTGATAGGCACTGCACTGAACATGTAGATTGCTTTTGGTAGTATGGCCATTTTCACAATGTTGATTCTACCAATCCATGAGCATGGGAGATATGTCCATCTTCTGATGTCTTCTTCACTTTCTCTCTTCAGTGGTTTATAGTTTTCATTAAAAATGTCTTTGGTTTCCTTCATTAAATTTATTCCACAGTACTTTATTGTTTTTGAGGCTATTGTAAATGAGACTGTTTCCTTGATTTCTTTCTCAGTCTGTTTGTTGTTGTATATAAGAAGGCTACTGATTTCTGTATGTTAATTTGTAACCTGCTACTTTACCAAAAGAGTTAATAATTTCTAATAGATTTTTGGTAGATCTTTTAGGGTCTTTTAGGAATAGGATCATATCATCTGCAAATAGGTATAGTCTGACTTCTTCCTTCCTTATTTGCATGCCTTTTATTTCTTGCTTTTGTCTTATTGCTCTGGCTAGGAATTCCAAAACTGTATTGAATAGGCATGGGGAAAGCGGGCATCACTGTCTTGTTCCTGATTTTAGCCATGTTTGTAATAGCGGAACTACTCTATGGAACACAGGGAAAGAAGGAAGGGAAAAGAGTATGACAGAGCATCAGTAATATCATAAAACATAACATCTGTGAAGGTAGAGAATATAAGGATGTGTACTGACACCTGTTCAAAAATGGGGAGTGGGAGGTAAAGGGGTAAGGGAGAGTAATGGAAGGGGTTGAATGGACCAAAGTAAAGTACACCCACAGTGGGGATACACTGACAAACCCCTTTGAACATCAACTTAAATATTAATAACAAAAGACAGGACTGTAGAATAGGTACAGTGTGTAGAGGGGTACTAGTAGGAGAGGGGAGGGTGAATGAAGGAGATTAGGGTGAGGGCATATAGTTGATGGACTTCATATACCTATATGAAATATAACAAAGAAACCTCTTGCAATTGCTTTAAGTGTGGGGGAGAGAGGGCAGAGATGATGGGGGAAATATAACTAATGTACAATATAAACCTAATCAGAACTGTCACTATGAATCCCCTCCTACATAATGAATATACTGTAATAAAATTTTTTAAAAAACTTCTTGTACTTACTGCTAGAAGTTTATCTCCAATCTGAAGTTTGCCATCCTTATGTGCTGCACCTCCTTCAATTATTTTGGTTACATAAATGCTATTATCCCCAGGAATATGCTGATTTCCAACACCTCCTGCAATGCTGAACCCAAGACCTATTTGGAACACACTAGTTTTAGATTCTCATAAAGGGGGGAGGGGGAAGAGAATGGCTAAAAATCAGAAGGTGGTAATTCCATCACACTAATATTTAAAAAAAAAAAAAGAAAAGAATCTATTTAGTTATCTACTTTTAAAGTCTTAAGTATTTATTCTGCAAGCAGAATTATAAATAAATTATAAATATATAAATTTATTCTGCAAGCAGAGAACAATTATAAATATAGACACTATTACAGTTATAAACGGATTTCATTTTTCCTTAAGTCTTTAAGTGAATTTGACAGTCCAAAGAAACACTGTAAACTTATGACTTATTTCCAATAGTCCATGAAGAAATAATTTAAAATAATGAATTTCTGCAGTTCATGAATCCAACAGCCTCAATACCAAATTCCAAGTTCTCTGTTCCTTTTGTCTATTGAAATCCTACTTCCTCCATGAAGCCAAGTTTTGGAATTACCCATTAATCTCATCAATATTTTTTAAATTTGGAAATCACATCACATCCCCACTGTAGATATAACTAATCATGACAAACATCATAAATACCTTCTTCCTTTATACTTACATATATCTGTATTTAAAGTACTTTGTAAACTAATTATCATCAGTTCATATAAACACTATACATGACCTCAAATGTTTAAGGAGAAGAATATTTCTTTGAATGCTAAGTCTTTCATAAAATAGTACTTAATAAAATATATTTTGTTCCATATTTTTTAAAACTAACAAAGATAGGTTATGGAAATTATGAATACAAAAACCACTTATTCTTAAAATTTATATACATACTCACAGCAACAAAATGCGTAATAGTATACATAAGTTAACATAGAACTTTTCAAATGATGCAATCTTAGAAGGAATGTACAGATTCTAAAATTCTACTTGAGACAAAAACCAGTAGAAATAATAGAGAAACACTATAAATTCACTCAAGTTTTGTAGAAGATTGTATTGTTAATCTCAGAATGCATATAACAAATAAGTCCATAATTATGAACTATGAGTTTAAAGAGATTTCTTACTTAACAATTTGTCTTAGTTTGGTTTCCACATACCTTTAGGACCTTTAATGAGCTTTATTTCCATTATTTTTTCTGATACCGGTTTCCGTCTTTTTACATACAATCGTACAATAGACCCTGCTTCTTTCAATGCTTCAACTGCCTTGCTATGTGTTACATCACGAACATCTGCTTCATTCACTCGCAATATACAGTCATTGACCCTGAGAAAAAAGTTAAATATCAAAAACTTAAAATTACTGATATAACATTTTACCAATTTTTAACTTTTGTTTTAAAAGTAAAGAGAATTTACTCCAGAAACTATAAATGAAGAAGCTGTATGTCAAATTCCAATGAAAAAGGACAAACATCTGTCAAAGTCCAGCAAAGGGAACAAAATAAATAGTGAAAATGACAGATTGTTACACAAAAATGTAAAATATTACAATGTTGATTATGTGAAGGCATTGTTACTTTACAAAAATAGTAAGCCTTTATTGGCACTAACCATATGCTAGGTACTTCCTTAGTGTTTCAGCCCTTAAAACAACCTATAAAGTAGTTATATATTTTTAACCACCATTTTATAGATGGAGAAACTGAGGCATTGTAAGTTTTAAATAACTCTCATATATGTAAACATATATACTTATGTTATATACTTATCATCTTCTACAAAAGTTAAGTGAATTTATAGTATTTCTCTCTTATTTCTACTGGTTTTGTCTCAAGTAGACTTTTAGAATCTCCACATTCCTTCTAAGATTGCATCATTTGAAAAATTCTATGCTAATTTATGTTTACATATATGAGAGTTAAACATATATGAGAAAACATTAATTCTCACATAAGCACAATAAATGACAGAGCTGTTATTTAAAAGTAAGAAAAAGGTTCAAAGAATATTAATAACTAGTTTAAGGTCAAGGAGATAGTGTCAAAACTTAGATTAATTCAGTGACTTATCAAAAATAACTTTAAGTGTCTTTTCCACCCAGAAACTAAATTAAATTCTTTAAGAGAATCGTATCTCTTAAAATTTATATGAAGTTAAAAAATAAGTCATTTAATTCAAAGGTTACTTATGTAAATAACTTAGAATTTAATGTGATAATATACTGTTAAAAGTCTGAGTAAGTTGTGGTAGCTCTTACCTATAATACCAGCTAATTGGGAGGCAGAGATTGGGAGGACTGAGGTGTAAGGCCAGCTAGGGCAAAGTTACCAAGACCCCATCTCAACCAATAAGCCAGCTCTGATGGCTCCTGCCTGTCCCCTAGCTACACAGAAGGCCTTAGGTAGGACTGCGGTCTGAGGCCAGTCTTGAGCAAAAACATGAGACTCCACCTGAAAAAATAACTAAAGCTAAAAGTGATAGAGCCTGAGGCCCTGAATTCAAACAAACAAAAAACCAAATAAAACAAAACAACAAAAATAAAACCTAACTTGATTTGTTCCTAGTTCTAATCTTTTCCCCTAGCTCTGGTCACAGTTATTACTGCATGGCATCAGATTAGAAAAACAAAGAAGATGGTCATCTTAAATTAGCACGGAGGAGAACAAAACACAATTAAAATATTAAAACTGGTCCAGACAACCTTCTATATCTAATTCATTTTCTTTAAAGGAAAGAAATTCTATAGCTAAAGCAATGATCCCATGTTCTTCAGTGAAACAAAAGGAATACATTAATTCTCACCTAAGCAGCCAAATAAAAGGCCAGTAACATAATCAGGAAGTAAATATCTGTATTTACATTAATGGTCAACTTCTTAATTTTTAAAAGTCACTGTGGTTTTTATTGTAATTATGGATCTTATCTCTGAGTCTTGAAGAAAATTCATTGAAATTATCTAGATAATCCCTAAGGAAAGATTACTTGTGTCCATATGCCCTCACAAATGAGAATGGTTAGTCTGCCCTACCAGGTGTGTGAGTTTTCTTGTTTGATTGATGATTGATTACTATTTGTCCATAAATATAATATCCCAAATCCTCAGGGACATTTGTCATAAGCATATAAGCCCATTCACATTCTTAACTTTTATGCCTATCTTCATTAATATACCACCTATCATCATATCTGGAGAGAAGTTAAGTTTAGAAACTAAAGACCTGCCCAAGGTACCAAGTAGCTTTAAAATAAGATGCTGTTTTTATAAGACTACCTTAGCTCTAAAATTTCAGTCGAAAAACACGTACATTTATAAAACAACCAATTTTCTAAAATGGAACACTATTTAAGTAAGAAACTCTTCTACTCTTCTCTTTGGAACTGTATTTATTTATAGCTTGCACATACTGTCTGTGACATGGCATACAAAATCATGTGTGTATATATATATATATATATATATGTATGTTCCTGTATTTTTTCTTCTTTGTTGTGGTGCTGAGGATGGAACTCAGGGCTTTGTGCATGCTAGGTAAGCGTTCTATCACTGAGCTACATCCCTAGCCCTTGTTTTATTGAGATAGAATCTCACTACTTAGCTCAGGATGACTGTGGTTCGAAACCACAGTGATTTTGAACTTGTGATCCTTGTCTCTGCCTCTTGAATGCTGGGATTAAGAGAAATGAGTTACCATACCCAGTGTTTTCTGTATCTTTTATAACACACTGCCTAGCCAGAAAAGAAATGGAAGATATGACCGTATTTGAAGATACAGAGGGGAACTCGTAATTTCCATAAATTTGATCACAAATCTTTACACCATCAAATTCATTATTTAAATATTGTATCTCTTTAAGATAAAACTAAATTCCTAAATGAAAAATGGAAACAATGCTAAGAGCAAAGCTATCTTATTTGAATGCTGTTTGAGCATTCTTATTTGTGTTCATCCCTTATCCCATATTCTCCAAGAAGCATCTACAAAGTGGACTGAACATCACAATATAAAGGGCGAGACATACCGCAATCTTCCATCTTGGGCAGCTGCTCCCCCTGTGATAATTTTGGTAATGAAAATACTTGAGTCATCTCCAATATGTGGGTTGTCTGTACCTCCTGCAATGCTGAAACCAAGTCCTGAATTTCCCTGGGGACAGAGGGAAAAAAAAATTCATGACAGTAAGAATTATTGTTATTGATAGGTTCCTGTCATTGTAGGACCTAGAAACTATACAAAAATAGGACTGCAACACAGAAAGGTATATGCATGTGGAATATGAAGATTCTAAATTAAATTAACATGATCTTCATTTAAGGAAAGTCTCTTCAGAGATATTACTGCCCAGTGGCAAAGACGAAGAAACTGTTAGGAGTACTTCAGAAGTCTGGTCTGCAGTTCTTTCTTTAAAAGTGTGTGCAATTTTGTCCTTGGGTAAGTCATTCATCTGCAGAGGTATCACTACAAGTTTCCTTGAGACTACATCTCACCCATGTTTGGTAGGGCAAATCTCTCCTAAGAGACAAAAAACTGATATGATTTTTCTCCCGTCTTTATTTCTGAGTAGGTTAAGCCAACATTTTATTTTAAAAAATGGGGTGGTGGTGGTGCTTTCTTTTGCTAACTCTGCCATCAGATTACTGGAGCTGAGATCAATCCCTGACAATGCTTAACCTATATACTTGACTAGCAAAAGGCATTTTTTAGTACTAAAAGCCTAATCTGAGAAGTTAACATTGGTGAGCTTTCTCAATGGCTAAGTAAATTTTACAAAAGCATTTCCACTTTTTGCTTGTTTACAAACTGAATCTCTAGTAGTATTTTATTCACAGAAAGGGTTCTACTGCTACAAAAAGTCTTTAACGACAACTGATCTATGGTATTTAAAAGGTCTATTTTTGTAAAAATGTTCCAATATCAGCTTTCAGGCAACCCAATAAACAGATATATCTAGACCTATCACTTAAACTGTTAGTATTAAAAAGGTGCTGGGAAAGGATGGAAAAATGAGTAAGTTAAAAGATAAGTGCTGTCACAAAATACCATATTAAAATATGTATAATACATCAATACTGTGCTTACTTGAATGTTACTCAGGCATTGATGCCACCTAACTTGAGTAGGTGACTGAATTAAGTAATAGACAATAAAAACTTACTATACACATAAAAGACTCACTCAGGTCTATTTATTTTCCACCAAGTCTAGTCCTACTTCAAACATGAGCAAATTTAATTTTCAAAGATTTTAGTTTTTTAAAATTTGGTGAGACTGGGACTTGAACTCAAAGAGTCCACTCGCAAAGCTTGAGCCACACCTGTAGTTCATTTTGCTGTGATTGTTTTGGAAAAGGGATCTCAAGAACTGCTTGCCAGGAATGACCTTGAATCACCATTCTTCTGATCTCACCCTCCCAAGTAGCTAAGATTATAGGTACCCAGCTATAAGATTTTAGTTTTAAATAAACACATAATTTCCCAAACCTGGTTAGACAAGGTGACATTACTAAAATATAGTACAGACTGAAAGCAGATATTTTGTGGTTTTTTGATGATACTGGGACTTGAACTAAAGGCCTCAGGCTTGCTAGATAGGCACTTTACCACTTAAGCCACTGCCCCAGCCCTTGTTTGCTTTGGGTATTTTCAAGATAGGGTCTCAAGAACTATTTGCCCAGGTTGGCTTCAAACCTCAGTCCTCTGGATCTCTGCCTCCTGAGAAGCCAGGATTATAGTTGTGGGCCACTGGTGCCTGGTTTAAAGTAGCTAATCTTAAGAGAAAAATACATCTCAAGAAACTTTACTGGGCATAAATGCAAGACCCAATTCAAAAAAGAAATAAAAGCAAAAAGGTGTGGCTCAAGTGGCAGAGTACCTGCTTAGCAAGATGAAAGTCCTGAGTTCAAAACAAAAAAAAGAACCTTTACACATATGAAGTATACCTAATTGCATGTAAGTTTTTGATACAGTTCTGTCTATCAGAAATGTGCTTATTGTTTTGCTAGGACAGAAAACTGATGCAATGCTAGTTACTAGCATACTGCTTCCTTAAAGCAGTATTTTATTATAAGCATATAAGTAATAAAAGCAATGGGAAAGAATTTGAGAAACTGTCATAATCTAGGGGAGCCTAAGGAGACATAACTAAATGCAATGTGGTTTCCTGGATAGTACCCTGAAAGAGAAAAACATAAAAACTAAGGAAATATGAATGGAGTATAGACCCCACTTAATATAATTCATAAGTACTGATTCACAGGTCAAAACAAGTATACTGTAATAAAGAAATGTGTTAATAATAGGGGAAAAGCAAGTCCAGGATAAATGGGAATTTTCTGTATTATCTTTACAACTTTTCTGTAAATCTAAAACTACTTTGAAGTAAAAAATTAAAAAAAAAGGATATTAAAGAAAAGAAACATATTTTGAAAACACCATGACAAATTTTATGATCTATAAGCTTACAGAAGAAAACATTACACTTTTCTGTTTTTGAAAGATCTTCTGCCTGCATTCTATATGCTTGAGTGGCATATTTAAAAGCTCTTTAAAAAAAAAAAGATGAAGATAATTAATAGTTCTTACCCTTTCAAGTGTGATTTCCTCATATTCATAATCTGCATCAGTGCCATTAACCTAATAGGGGGAAGAGAAGTAGCTCAGAACTTCATAGTAAAAAATGTGAAATGGCAAGATAAGTTTTACATAATTTATTCATAAGAACCTGTTAAATGTTACAGTGATCAAAAAATGTAGCTTCATTTTAATAATTTCAGGGGAGATTTTCAGGAATAGAAGAGTACAAATGTGACTGAGTCAACATTCATAGTATCATGACTTTGAAACACAGGAAGGGTATACTTAGCTTTTACTGTTACTGAACTTTGACTCTTTCCTCTGTCTTGATCCACACATCTAATCAGTTGCCAGATCTTCCTAATTTAAATACTTCAAGTTTTTTCTGAAAACCATCACTCTTCATTCTCATTTCTATTTCTTTGATTTGGACCTTGTGTTAACTTCCTCTAGAATTCTGCTTTGAATGAAATCTACTCAATCACTTAGATTAATATTACCTACTGCCCAAACAATACTATGTGTTTTATTCAGATGGATCTTTCTAAAACCCAAGCTAATAACAAACTTCCTCCAGAACTTTCAGAAACTCTTCTTTTCTAAAAATATTTAAACTCTATAGATTGGTAATCAAGGCTCTGCATGAACTGACCCCATCTACCACTTATCTTTACTCCTAACATACATATCTCACCCCTTCATGTTGCTCAAATACCATCTAATTTAAATGACTTGTCTTGCAATTTCCTACCTCCACATTTGAACTTTTGTGTTTCCTGTAACAAATTTCATTTACACACCTAATGCCCAAGTCAGAATCACCATTCTGCATACTGCTTAGTATGCAGTATCTGGCTTAATGTGCATTTCTTAGAACCAAGCAGCTACAATGTGGGGAAATTCAAACAGCCTACAGGGTGATCCAAACAAAGGAAAAACAAGGCCCAATGCTCCAAAGTCCCAAATGCACTCTTAACCATCAGCCAGTACCAATGGTCTTCTAAGTGAATGAAGCTTTATACTAACTTTGCTTTCAATTTGCTGATATTCCAACTAAAATGCATGTGCATTTATTTCCTTTATGAAAAGCTAAAAGTTTTAAAATAAAAACACATAATCACTGACACTCCCTGTAACAAAATAAATCTCAACAAAGAGAGTAAGTAAAAGAAAACCATGTGAAGAAAATTTGAACAAAAGTACAAACAAAATTCTGCTTGACTAAGTATTTTATATCAGTGTGCAAAATAACAATGAAAGGAATAAAGAATTTGAAATAAAAGTGTGGAAGAGCTCACTTGGTTTCATATTAAGTTGCACTATCTCAAGTTTTACAAAATCCTCAAATAGTTTATACAACCATATTCTATAAACACAAACAGAATATAAAAGAAAATAAAATGTTTATAAAGTATGGACTTAAAATTAACTATAACTCAAAAATAGGAAAAAAAAGGATTTTATAGTCTGCAAAATGATGCACCATTTGATGGCAGAGGGTGGGGGTGGGTGGGAGGGAGAGTGGAGTTGGGGAGGGAGGAACCAACAAAACCACAAAGCATAGGCACTACTTCATCTGCCCAGATATTTTCCTTTGAAGTGAAAAATATTACACAAAATTCTGCTATTCTGGTTACGTAGAGGAAAGAGGGCTTTTTACAAAGCCACTTTAGAAAAATGCACTAATACATGTAAAATTAGTTATAACTAATGATTTTAATGTACGAATATACAAACAAACCTATTTACTAAAAATCTAGTCAATTACACTTTTTAAATGACTAAATATGCAGTATTACGCAAATGAGTTCATGAAGTTATTACTACTATGTCAAGCCTTTAGTGAAAGTTAATCATCATAATTTCAAAATTAAACCATAAATTCTATTTCTATTTTTGCTTTGTGTAAGTATTTAAAAAAAAGCAACCAAAGCAGGATAGTACTGCTTTATTTGCTATAGGAATGATAGGTAGAACTTACGTAAAATGAATTAAAGAAAGTAATGCTATGATCTTTGTATCTACATCACAAATTAAACAAGGAAGGCAGAATTTTTAAACATGAGGAGGAAATGGAACTTACATAAGTTGGTGTTTCCAAGCTATCTGTGTTAACCAGTACTGGAGGAGGATTTGCCTTTGAAAAAAGAATTGTAAATATGTTAGCACAACATAACAAGAAAACTAAAACATTGCAGATTAACGTTCATAAATGTTTAACATACAAAGACTTTCTATACTTTTTTTTTTTTTTTGTGGTGGTGCTATGGTTTAAACTCAGGGCCTCACACTTGCTAGGCAGGTGCTCTACCACTTGAGTCAGTCCACCAGTGACTTTCTATTTGTTAAGTTATAATTTTACATGAGCTTTCTCATACATCCAGTTTCTAGCACCAACTGGAAAAAATTAGGTACAGATACACCAGATTTGCTTTTGAGAAATAACATGCCATTTCTGCTAAAACAGACATAATTTTAAGATTTGCAAAGAAAAACATCATAGCCTTTTCTTGAAATTAATATTCTTCAGTATAACAAAACAGTTCTTTTGTTGAAACCCAGGTTTTCTATTCCCAAAGATCCAGTAAGATTTGAATTATTTTATCACCGAGAAAAAAACTTTTGTCTACACTGAATTATGTTTGAAGATGAAAACAAAAATGTGTCACACAAAGAAATCAATCACAAAATTTTAGAATATCAGAAACATTCTGAATGTTTTTGGCTGAAATGACTGCTTTTCACTATTATTATAGACCACTCAAGGAATAATGGTTTGCTATAGCACATGAAATAAGTACTGTACACTGCATCCAGTTTTAAATGAAAAAAACTTTGTTTTTTGGTTATAGTTAGAAATAATTTTTATGTGGATAAAACTAAAGAATAAAATTTAATTCATATCAAATAAAAGACATATCAGAAAACTGATATAATTCCCCTCAAAATTATTTCCTCAGAATATTTAAGATAGTTATAAAAATACTAAATTAAACATTTTCATAGAATAAGATGACTATCATTTAAATAAATATTAGGAGATATGATTATATGCTAATAAACATCAACAATTCTTCTAATCCAATTAAGTAATTATATATAGCAGCTGTATTAAAGAACATTATAACACAAAATAATAGTTTTCTTCCAAATCTGTAAGCTTTTTAAAAGGTAAGTATACGAGTAAGGTGCACACCTATAATTTTAGCACTCAGGAGGCTGATGCAAGAGGATCTTGAGTTCAAAGCCAGCCTGAGCTATACTATATAATAAGACTCTTATTTTCAAAAAAGCCACCCCCCCAAAAAAAATCCCTCAAAAAACAAAACAAAAATGTGAATACTTGGAACCCAAATGATTCAGCAAAATACTTTTTACTCTCAGCAAAACACTGATATGAAAAATCATATGATAAAATACATAAGGAAAGTACTGTTTTAAGGTTAAAAATCATACACTACACATTTGGGCTATACATAAAGCAGGTCAAAATGAATAGGTAATATTATGTTATATATAAATATAATATTAACTACTGTATGTCCAACCTTACCAGTAAATATACTCTGCGTTTGAATGATTCAGCGAAAAATCAAACCTCATAAATAAAAGTTCTACTTGTAAGGTTGCTATTTAAGCAAAACTACTGAAACTTAAAAACATTTGAGAGTTTATGAACATTTTAAATCATTCATTTCCCAGTGAAATATCAAGATGACTCAAATTGAAATTTTCACTTCATTTAAAAAATTCGTGATACAGGGGGAAAGATGGGGAAAGGGTATGGGAGGGTGAATATGGTACAAATACTGTGCACCCATGTATGTAAATGAAAAAGTGATACCTGTTGAAACTACTTTAGGAATGGGGGGAGGAATGATAAAGGAGAATGATAGAGGGGGTGATTTCAAGTATGATTGATATATTGTAAGAACTTTTGTAAGTGCCACAAAGTACCCCCACACAGCACAATAAAAAAAATGCATGATACAATGTCACTATATTCTTTCTGACTAAGCTACTACAGAGAATAAGAACCAACAAGGCTATTTACAGTTACTAAAGAGATGTACTCTTTGAATATTATGGGAAGAAAGCCATTTGGTTCCCTCCAATTATTTATTCCAAATATGCAGCAGAAAAGTTTGGTTTTTACCAAAATTTAATTTACCCCATAATTATTACAATATTAGCTGCTTGTTAGCACCAAATTCATCATCCCTGCGTAAGTTATATTTTCATTTTAATCACATAAAAAGTCTTCAAGTACATACACACAAAATGATAATAAAGTTTTATACTTACTTCAATATTAAACAATGCAGAGTGTTAAGAGCTAAAGATCAAATGAGAGTACATATGAATTGATGGCTGTTGTATCTGAGTGATGGATATACATGGAGTTTGTGTACTATGCTCTCTACATTTTAATATTTTTGAAATTTTGTGTAACAAAATTAAAGTGAAATCATATTAAGCACTCCGTTTGTAAGAGGTTAATAGTTAAGGCAATTGTGAAATACTATTGTTAGAGTTGAAACTAAGATATTAACATTCAAACTGGGTACAGTGGCTAATTTCTATAATCCCAGCTACGTGAGAGGAAGGAGATCAGGAAGATCACAGTTTGAGCCCAGTTAGTGAGCTGCTCATCTCAATCAATAAACTGGGGTAGGGGTGTATACCTGTTGTTCCAGCTATGCAGCTAAGTGGGAGGCTGTAAGTAGTAGGATCAATGTCTAGGTTGACCACAGGCAAAAACCATGAGATCCTATCTGAAAAATAAGGCCAGGCACTGGTGACTCATGCCTGTAATCTTAGCTACTCAGGAGGCAGAGATCAGGAGGATCACTGTTTGAAGCCAACCCAGGCAAATAGTCCATGAGATACTATCTCAAAAAAAAAAAAAAAAACCACCGTAAGAAAGGGCTGGTGGAGTGTTTAAGTTCTAGCACCACAAAGGAAAACTGCCAAAAACATTTTATGAAGCCAGTATTACACTTATCCCAAAACCAGGCAAAGACACCTCCAAAAAGGAGAACTATAGGCCAATCTCCTTAATGAACACTGATGCAAAAATCCTCAACAAAATAATGGCAAACCGAATCCAGCAACACATCAAAAAGATTATTCACCACGACCAAGTAGGCTTCATCCCAGGGATGCAGGGGTGGTTCAACATATGAAAATCAATAAACATAATAAACCACATTAACAGAAGCAAAGACAAAAACCACTTGATCATCTCAATAGATGCAGAAAAAGCCTTTGATAAGATCCAACATCATTTCATGATAAAAGCTCTAAGAAAACTAGGAATAGAAGGAAAGTTCCTGAACATTATAAAAGCTATATATGACAAACCTACAGCCAGCATTATACTTAATGGAGAAAAACTAAAACCATTCCCTCTAAAATCAGGAACCAGACAAGGATGCCCACTATCTCCACTCCTATTCAACATAGTACTGGAATTCCTAGCCAGAGCAATTAGGCAAGAAGAAGGAATAAAAGGAATACAAATAGGTAAAGAAACTGTCAAAATATCCCTATTTGCAGACGACATGATCCTATACCTTAAAGACCCAAAAAACTCTACTCAGAAGCTTCTAGACATCATCAATAGCTATAGCAAGGTAGCAGGATATAAAATCAACATAGAAAAATCATTAGCATTTCTATACACTAACAATGAGCAAACGGAAAAAGAATGTATGAAAACAATTCCATTTACAATAGCCTCAAAAAAAATCAAATACCTAGGTGTAAACCTAACAAAAGATGTGAAAGACCTCTACAAGGAAAACTATACACTTCTGAAGAAAGAGATTGAGGAAGACTATAGAAAGTGGAGAGATCTCCCATGCTCATGGATTGGTAGAATCAACATAGTAAAAATGTCGATACTCCCAAAGTAATCTACATGTTTAATGCAATTCCCATCAAAATTCCAATGACATTCATTAAAGAGATTGAAAAATCTACTGTTAAATTTATATGGAAACACAAGAGGCCACGAATAGCCAAGGCAATACTCAGTCAAAAGAACAATGCAGGAGGTATCACAATACCTGACTTCAAACTATATTACAAAGCAATAACAATAAAAACAGCATGGTACTGGCACAAAAACAGACATGAAGACCAGTGGAACAGAATAGAGGACCAGATATGAAGCCACACAACTATAACCAACTTATCTTTGACAAAGGAGCTAAAAATATACGATGGAGAAATAGCAGCCTCTTCAACAAAAACTGCTGGGAAAACTGGTTAGCAGTCTGCAAAAAACTGAAACTAGATCCATGTATATCACCCTATACCAAGATTAACTCAAAATGGATCAAGGATCTTAATATCAGACCCAAACTCTTAAGTTGATACAAGAAAGAGTAGGAAATACTCTGGAGTTAGTAGGTATAGGTAAGAACTTTCTCAATGAAACCCCAGCAGCACAGCAACTAAGAGATAGCATAGATAAATGGGACCTCATAAAACTAAAAAGCTTCTGTTCATCAAAAGAAATGGTCTCTAAACTGAAGAGAACACCCACAGAGTGGGAGAAAATATTTGCCAACTATACATCAGACAAAGGACTGATAACCAGAATATACAGGGAACTTAAAAAACTAAATTCTCCCAAAACTAATGAACCAATAAAGAAATGGGCAAGTGAACTAAACAGAACTTTCTCAAAAGAAGAAATTCAAATGGCCAGAAAACACATGAAAAAATGCTCACCATCTCTAGCAATAAAGGAAATGCAAATTAAAACCACACTAAGATTCCACCTCACCCCTGTTAGAATAGCCATCATCAGCAACACCACCAACAACAGGTGTTGGCGAGGATGCGGGGAAAAAGGAACCCTCTTACACTGTTGGTGGGAATGTAGACTAGTACAACCACTCTGGAAAAAAATTTGGAGGCTACTTAAAAAGCTGGACATCGATCTACCATTTGATCCAGCAATACCACTCTTGGGGATATACCCAAAAGACTGTTACTCCAGAGGCACCTGCACATCCATGTTTATTGCGGCACTATTCACAATAGCCAAGTTATGGAAACAGCCAAGATGCCCCACACTGACGAATGGATTAAGAAAATGTGGTATCTATACACAATGGAATTTTATGCAGCCATGAAGAAGAACGAAATGTTATCATTCGCTGGTAAATGGA